TTGGTCTCCCTCAGATCCCATGAGGAGATACCATCTGGATCAAGAAATTCTTTTATAATTAGGAGGGTACACTCTGTCACCTTACCCAAATATAATTTTATGCTTGTTTGCCCTATTGCAGTTTAAGGATGTAACGTTTCTTTTCATATTTCTTAATAAAAACTGAGACCAAGAGGTGTTTGAGTTTCCTATATCCTTATCATTCCTTAACACCTATTTTGTAAGGGAACAGGATTCTCTCTCTGGATTTTAAATTTCAGTATGTTTTCTAATCAGGTTTTAAATTACTGTTTTCCCCTGAACTTACTTAAAGTTAATCTGCCCTTCAAGTTCCAACATAAATCCTCTTGTTCAGATAAATTTTATCTATCACTGTACTCTTATCATGCTTAGAGCATGTGCAATGCAATTTCTCTTCAGTAACATCCTCTTTTATACTTGTTTCCAATCTCAAAGTTCTAGTTTTTGCTTTTGCTAAGAGTCTGAGACTTGAGAATTATGGGGACATTGAGGATATTAAAAAATACTTCTAGATACACAGGTTGCTTATTATTAGAATCCATGTAAAGTACTTCTGAGTTGATTCAACAGTAAAACTGAAACATGCTAATGATATTAGAACACAACTGATAAGAGGAAAGTACTAATATGAATTATACCTTAAAATGAATTTGTTGCTGTTGTGTGCTGATGAGTCTATTCTGAATTAGAGGGACCTTAAAGGACGTATTGAAATTGCCTGCCTCTGGTAGCCTAGTGGTAAGAAGCTGTGCTGCAATCCGGAAGGCACAGGGTTTGAATCACCAGCTTGCTTCAAACGACAAAGATGGGAAATCTCCTCTCAAGTGATTTGTCACTTCTGAAAACCATTTGAAGGGTCAGCTATGAGTCGGTTCCGACTAGATGGAAACAACCATTTATAGAAGCAACAACCTTTATAGAAGCAGACTGCTAGGTCTCTTCTCTTACACAGCCTTTGGTGGTTCAAACCATTCCATTAAAAGCCTAACTGAACTAGGCTTTCAGTTAGTGGTGTAGTTCTTAACCAATGTACCTGCAGCCTTTGTTAAATTGAACTGAAATGTGTAAATTTAAAAATTAGTATTTCTATTCTAATAAATAGAAAAGCAAGTTGATAAACACCCATTATATTCCATTGTCAATGTTAATTATTTAGGCTAGCAAAAAGCAAGTGTTAATGCTTTCAATAATTTCATTAACCCTGAATAGTCAATTTTTGTTGTTGTTGTTGTTTAGTGCCATCAAGTTGTAGATGACTCATAGCGACCCTATGAATGAAAGACCTGAACCCTTTTATAACTTTCATCGATTCTCCAAGTTCATAGAGTTTCCACAGGCAAGCCATTTCAGAAGTGGAAGCCACTCCTGCATCCCAGCTTGTTTTAATCAGGGAGTTCCACGAAACACTGTCCACCATGAGTAACCATTATTGCATTTTACACATCAGTGTCTCAGTGGTTAGCATTACAGCAACCACAAGTTACCTCTGTACAGCAAATGGACAGACCAGTGCTATACCATTTAGAAGAATGTTGGACCAAAAAACAATTAGAACCAGGTCTGAGGGCCGTAGATCATAATCACCCACCTTTGGTTTGTTAACATAACTTTCTATCCATTAGGCCAACAGAGCTCTCTGTATGTCGCTGTTGTCTTCGTTGGTAAGTACTGCCAAGTTGTAGACAACTCATAATGACCCCATGAAGAAAAGACCTGAACACTTATATAAATTTCATCATTTTTCCACATGCCTAGAGGTTTCCTGAGAGAACAGCCAATAGGTCATAAATTTAAAAATCTAGGGAAAGAAGTATAAAAAGACATTTACCTGAAGTTATATGCAGAATAACCTTTGATTGAAAATCCAGAATGTGAGCTAGAAAAATATTGGCACAAGCCATTTTGTGCTTTGAATGGATATTCTGAATCTCTCACCAGTTTTACTTGCATCTAAAAGAAAATAGTTACCCAAAGTGTTCACTAGTATTCAACTGTGAAAGGTACTGCACAATAAAGGTTTGGTTAGACACTGTAATTAATTACTCTAATCAATGGTAATTACTGTTATAAAAAAGGTATCTGAATGATTGTATGAAAGACCAGTACAATTTATAAAACTTTCACTAGATTTTATAAAGTTTAATAAAATAATAACATTTAAATTTAAAAAGTTAATGATAAAATAAAAAAATAAAGTTTAAACAAATAAAATAAGTTTGTCCCTGCATTAAAATAAGGGTCATGAAAACAATGAGGTAACATTTCACCCCAGCAAAAACAGCAAAAGTTGGTGAGGATATGGAGAGATTAGAACTCTCACACATGATGATGGGAAGGTAGTATTATGTAACCACTATGAAAAGCAATTTGCTGCTTCCTTAGAAAGTTGAGTAATGAAGTACCATTTGATTCAGCAAAAGTATATGTCTTAAAGAAATAAGAGCTGTTACATGAACAGAAATAAAACACATCCATGTTTACTGCAGCACTGTATAAAAGAGAAAAGAGCTAAAAACAATACAAGTGCCCATCAACTGACAAAGGAATATAAAGGAACACACAATGGAGCATTGTTTTTGTGTCCTATAGAGTCAGAACCAATCCATAGCTGACCTTCTGTCAGGCAGTTAATTGCATAGGAAAACTGCCCACCTTTTTCCCACAGAGCAGCTGATGTATTTAAGCCACAAGATAGACTGGTATTAATAAATTCAGAATTCTCTAAATAGGTATCATTTATAAAACTATAGTTACATATTTCAAAACTGACATGAGTTTTCTCCAACCTGTAAAAAAAAAACTAGTTAGCTTGTCATAGAATTCTGTTTTCTTTCTTCAAGCAAGTAAAGTAGTTTAAGCTGTCTGTTTACCAAGAGAGGAAATACATTTTTCCTAATTTAGCATTTGCCTTTTTGAGACTGGTTATCCCAGTCATATGTAAATTGTATCTTAATCTTCGAGTTTGCCAGGAGAGGAGGTGGTCTTCCTTATATTTTTAAAGATTTTATCTTTTTAGGGCCTGTTTTTCTCAGTCATGTGTTAGCTATTTTGTAAATTACTTGTTTACTGGAACATGTGTGTGAATTGTGTTTAGTGGTTGGGTTTTTTTCTGTTTGTTTTTTTTTTCCCAGATGTGTAAATTCTTTGATTATATTTACAAAGAAGTATTGTTGAGTGAGTTGGTATCTAACCATGGTATAAAAGCCTAATGACAACTCCCAGACAGGAAGCAGTCTCTGAGAAGGATCTCACTGCTTTCTCCCAGATCTGCAATAAAGTGTTATGGATATTGCAACTTGTCTGTCTTAATGGCAACTGACTAGGGAAAGAACCCTTGTGTTCAGTAGCATATATATATCTTTGGGTGGACAGAGCAACGCCTTACCATTACATCACCAGAGCTCCCTCTGTGTGTGTGTGTGTGTGTGTGTGTGTGTGTGTGCGCGCGCGTGCGTGTGTGTTTGTGTGTGTATATGTTATTGTTGTTAGGTGTCGTTGAGTCAAGTACAAACCATAGCAATCCTCTGAACAGCTCTACATCCTGCCCTATCCTGTGCCATCCTTACAATTTCTGACATACTCAAGCCCATTGCTACAGTCACTGTGTCAATACACTTGACTGAATGTCTTCTTCTTTGGCATCCCTCCACCTTTCCAAGCATGATGTCCTTTTCCAAGGAATAGACTCTGCTAGCAACATGCTCAAAATATGTGAAATAAAGCTTTATCATCTTTGCTGCCAAGGAGCACTGTGGCTGTACCTTCTTCCAAGACATGTCTGCTTGTTCTTTGGAAATTCATGGGATACTTTGTACCCTTCTCCAACACCACAGTCCAAATGCATCAATCCTTCTATCATTCTTAATTATTGTCCAGCTCTCTGCAGCACATCAAGTGATTGAAATGATCATGGCTTAAAAAAAAAAAAAAAAA